GGTTTCCTGGGGTCAAAGTTCACCTATTCGCCATGAAACTGTGAACTATTATAAGTCCTACACAAAAATGCACAGAGGCACCAAACTTTCAATGATTGATCATCATCGCATCCCCTACAATACCCAATGGTTAAATGATGACATCACTTAGGCCACGCCCCCTGAGAACAGGAACTGTCATGTTGTAGTGTGAACGGTCGCTATCTAACTCATTTGACCTAATCAACATGAAACTGTGTCCGGAGACAGAAGACATATTGGTGTGTTGTGGATTCCAACCCTGTTTGGTTTGGATTGAGAATGTGCCAACTCTGCATTAAATTATCATAATTTACAAAATCATGCAAAGCTGGCACTTTTAATGGACTTTTAATGCAACTTTTGGAGCAACTTTGCATTAAAAGTGTCATTATTTACCGAATGACACTTCATGACAACTGTCATAAACATTCATAAAGACTTCTTTATGTTCATGACAGGTGTTATGTCATGTTTATGACAGTGTCATGTCAGTCTTATCACATGGTTGAGATTATTAGTGATTATTAGAATAATCACAGCCATGTGATTATTCTAATGAGTTTCATGTTCTGAGGTGACTGGCAAGAAATATTGCACTTTTACACAATATTCTAATTTTCTGAGAGTACATCCAAATGTCCAAAGCTCCAGTCAGAAGTTAAACAATGTCTTAAAAAAGGACTTATCCTTCAGGGAGGGAGAAAAGCAAGAGGAAGAATAGAAAAAACCAAGATAAAAGTTTGTTTTAATGTGCCTTGGTAATGTAATGTTTACAAAAAAGATTTGTAAAGCTGCTAACAGAAAATTAGTTTGAACAGTAGTTCAACAGCCAAACATTCATGATCGGGTCTTTGTGTTTTTGTGAAACTGAGTTTAAACTTTAAATAAGCTGATTCTCCTGCTCGGTTCTGTATATTTCTGAGGTATTTTTGGCTTCAAAATGCCATATTTCATAACATTTGATAATAATTAAAACTTCTCAATGTTTGATTTTGTCTAGCAAAATGTTTTTACATCAGGCTTCATAGCTACTACATCAATAAGCTACTCTGTGTTAGAAACATTCTGTGTTGTTATCACTTTCACAGTAGTAGTTAGTTTGTTTCTTATTTAAAGGGTTTTAGCTTTTTACTGTGTGTGTGACCTGATGTTAGGTTGGAACCTTTGTCTTCCTACACTCACAAGAATGTCTTTGTAACATGATTATCAGGGGGCCCCATCTTCCTTTCCACCCTCATGTTAAAGAATTAACTGTATGAAAAGATGAAACTTGCTTTTCCCTAACCATGAATTATGTTTTACAGCTGCTTGTTTATCTACCCAAATACTCCTTACTTATGAAACTGCCTGTGTGCAAAAGTAGTTTATGTTTCTCCTGTCTTGCCCTTCCTCCCACCTTTTCTCTTTTCCCTGATAATAAAAAGACAGGTTCTGCAGCAGGATGGCAGAACACATGATAAACTGCTGGGGGAAGCCAGCCTGGCTTCTACCGGACAAGCAGAAATGCCAGGGTTACTGTGCTTTCTCAATTCTCACAAGAATTTGGTTGAAAACTAAGTAACATTGTCTGTAGTTCTTTCATGTAGGTTGAGAAAATACCCATCACTCTATGCTGTAGTTGGGGATGTGTTGTTTGCTGCTGAGCATAGTCATTTTGTGGCTAAAACAAATATTTTTATATCAACTTCTAAGTTAAAAAAAAAAGACTCATGATATAAATTAAATTTTTAACTATTGGAGTTACGCTTAAGAGAAATTTATTTAATCAAAGGATGTCATGAATGTGTGTGTAGGGCTGCACTGATTGCATTTTTCTGACCGATCCCTGGTCACTGATCTTTAAAAAGTCTGACCTGCCCATTTTGATTTTGGCTGATATGAATGTTTTTTGTCTGAAATGTCGCTAAATATAGCAAGAAAGTCGCTGAGTTGGCAACAGTGGGGTGAATATTGTTAACTGTAAAGGTGCAGACCTGACCTGGTGGGTCGCTCTGTGAGTCACCAGAGCAGAGCAGAAGAGGAAGTAGAAATATGAAAAACGGTCATAAGTCCATAAGCGTCACTGGGCGCAATACACAGGCCATACTGCTCCATAAACCCTGAGAATAAGGTGGTCACCTCTCGTTCAAGGTAACCTTTCAAAAATAAATCTTATATTTAAAATATTTAACTCTCATATTTCATGAATTATTTTGAATAACATTCTATACCGTACAATACAGATGAAACAGCAACGAGAAAAAACATTTCCCCCACAAAATGAAAATTGTATTTGTCAAAACATACGTTTTTTTTATAAGATTACCTAGATTTTTTTTAAATATATATTTTAAGTATTAATTTAAGTAAGTGTGTTCCAGACTTCATTAAAGGGGTTTGAAAAGCAAAATTTTTTTTTTTTTTTTTTTTTGCTCATTTTCAAAGTAAAAAGATCAGTTTCTCAACAAATCCATACTAATCACATAATCATCAACACATTGATGACATTGAAATGATACACTCCCTCTTATATTTTGAATAATGAATTGAAATACAAGTTTTTAGTGTTACTTATTGAAATAATTTGCTGTTAATGTCAGACCATTCAAACCGGTTGCACCAGCAGCAGCAGTAGCTGCTGCCGGAGCCGCTTGCACACGTCATCTGTCTGGACGCCTGTGTGAAACTGCATGGTGAGATTGTTTCATTTTCAGGACGTAACGAAGCGCTCGCATGTTTACATCAGATTCCGTCTTCCGAGTTAAAATCACTCAGCTGTGTTGTACGCAAGTCTAGGTGGAAGCATAAACATCCTGGCACCATGAATACAACAAACAAGCCTTTAGTCCGCCCTGCAGTCAAACAGTTATACAACAGCCTTTGATGAATTCAGCTTAAGACTTTATTTATTCGCCAAGAATGCAATCACAGGCATGAACAGATCAGAAATGCAAAAAAAAAAATGGAGGGAAATGGCTTTGTTTGTGTTTTTCTTTCTTTTAATTAAGGCTTAATGAGCAACCTCCAATTACAAACCCAGCTCAGTGTTTATCAGGATAAATAAATAACAGTTCAAAAATAAATACACTATTAAATACAGCATAAAACAGCAGACAAAAGAGGAAGAATTTGCAAAGGAAGGAGGGGTTTGCTCATAGATGAAGGAAGTTTTGGGAAGTCATGGCGCTAAAACAAAAAAAAAAAAAAAACTCGCGCGCGCGCACACACACATACAAAATAAAAGCAGTCTGAAAATATGATTGATACTGGATATTGTACAAAATTTACAAAATGCAACTCCAACCAATAAACCCAGATATTAACAAAAAATAAATCCCTTTAAAAAAAAAAAAAAAAAAAATCCCATTTGTTTGTGAGCTACAACAGAATCACTCATTTAACGACAAGATACAAATTCAAGTAAAAGAAGGTGTACATCAGTAACACACAAGATTTGCAGTCATGGATTAAGAGCACTGGGGGGGTTTCAACTACAAACTGCTACACAGAAGAGCCGCTTCACGTAAAGAGGAGGCAGACTGGTTCATCTTCCACAAACAGGCACTTTAAAACGTCTGGAACGAGTCGAGCAGCTCATTCATATAGCATTTCATTTAAATCTGAAAATAACTCACTCAAAATGTGATTGAATGTTAATAAGGACGCTTGGAAAATGGTAAAACTGCAAAAAATAAAAAATAAAAATAAGACTATAGCTGAGATCTCTCACCAGTGATTTTCTTTTTTTTTTTTTTTTTTTTGGTGAGTATTTTTCTCGACTCACTTATTTTTTTTGAGAAGTTTTGCAGAATTCCCGCTTGTTTCAATTACGAAAAAGTCTCGACTTTCACATACAGTGCCTTGTGATTAATACCCTTGGACTTTTTCACATTTTTGCAAATTACAAAACACAAAATCACAAGTATTTGGTAGGGATTTTTTTTTACGTGACAGACCAACACAAAGCAGTACATCAACGCAAAATGGAAGAACAACGGAAAGTTTTAAAACTCTTTGAGCCCCCTTTTACTCTGATGTTTCTAAATAAAGTCCAGCCAACGGCACCGCAAACAGCAATGAGCTTCTTTAAATTGAAGCCAAAAACCGACCTGTCCAGAGCTGCCTCCGATCTGGAACATTGATTAGTATGTTTAATGTACATTTGCTTCATGATGTGGATGATGGCAAAATATAATGTTTTATTGCCCGTTTCATAATAGGCTGCTTAAGTTTCTATGGTGTAAAGCACTTTGAGCTGCTTTTGTTGCTGAAATGTGGAAAACAAATGAACTCGACTTGACTCGGACCAAACCAAACAGGCCTGTGCTGAAGTTAGAGCCAGGTTTAAAGCGAGATGAGGCCGTAAAACAAAATGGGAGGGAAACCCAGCAGCAGAGCTCCAACTCCCAGAGAGGAGAATCTGTTGACATGACAGCTTTTACCAGACACATTAAAATCTTGCTCTAATGGAAGTGTGGCAAGTCAAAACCACTTGCAGCCAGATAGTCATATAAAATACTGTTTGCAGTTTATCCCCAAACAATGTAAGGAACTCAGTAATCAGGTCAAAGTAGGCACTATCGGGTCGCTATGGCACCACAAAAAAACAAAACATTTCAGGCACAGATACAACATTTTTCCTCATGAAACATGGAGGTGGCAGCGCCATGCTGTGGGAATGACTTTTCTTTTATTTTTTTAATATTTGCCTTCCAGTACAAAGCACTGTGTTGGTCTGTTGCACGAAATCCCGACAAAAAGAGGCAAAATGCAAAATGGTTCAGAGGACACAAATAGCTCGTCCGTTTTTGGTTGTAAATGCCCGTTTATGTTTACAATCATGTGACAAATATGAGACTCGCTCCAAGTGCTACATTATATGATTCTAATAAAAATGTTTTTGTTGATGTTTTTTGTAACAGTTCATTGCAAAAGAGGAATAATAATAATAAAAAACTTACTTTGTAAAAAGAAAAAAAAAGTACCTAATCATCCTGTTTTGTGTTTTTTTTGTTGTTGTTTTGTTTTTTTTGTATATAAACACCACCCATAAGATCATAGCTTAATTTCTGCACAGAACCAGCAGAAACATTCACAACCTGTTTTATTTTTTTAACCCTAAATCTGAATTAGCTCAAACTCATTTCATCCTCCTGAGAGCCAATCAGTGAGAGACTCATAATCTGAACTCTGACTGGACTCTGCTGCTCTTACAAACGTTCTCCCTGTTCATTTCGTAACAAACTCAGGGTGCAATTTCATAAAGCTGAAGCAGGAATGGAAAACGGACGAAAGTGAATGAGCGACGAATCGCATCCGTACGGAAGACAACTATAGTACAAAAATAGCTATTTAAATATCAAAAGTCTACATTACACATCTGTTGAAGGTATGTGCTCCGTTTCCCTGTGGGTAAAAAAAAAAAAAAAAAGAAAAACTATAGAAGGAACAGAAAATTATTCTGTTCAATTTGGCCCAAAAGCTTGGCACATTTCTCTCCTAGTTCTGCCGTTTGGGTGCCGTTCCCCGCAGAACGCTCCAGCTTGGCCGGGGAGTTCAAAGGGTTGCCTGTGTCCAATTTCACATCCCTTTCATTCGGAGGATCACACAGCAAACACGCTCAGGGTGCTGGTCTGGTCCTTCAAGCCCAAGATGCTGTAAGCTATCCTCTTCAAATGGCCGGGCAGTCGCACGCCGATGTTCTTAATGTCCCTGTGGAGGAGAGACAGAGCGGTGTTGAAGAAGAGCTGCGCACATATTTGCACCCTGGCCTCGTTCCAACAGTTTCCACATGCATCCTTCCAGCCTCCCAAAGTCTTGGAGTAATCACAGACTCATTTAGGGTGATGAAATGCCAGCCTAGAGTTGAACGCGTTCTGGTTGAACTTTTAAATCGGTCCAGCTAGGTGGGGCGCATTCCAAGTTCGCTCTGCCAAAAGGTGTAACTCATCTTCCACAATAAAACGAGCATTAGCGGGGGTTTCACTTTGCAAAGAGACACACATGCGAATCCTGCAAAAAGCCCTGCATAAACACCAGCCCGGAGTCAAAGCCTTAATTACAGCTTTAATTACTTAACGAGGATTCTCCCCGTTGACCATGAATCACTTTGTCTGGGAAGCAGAGGGTGGATCGTAAATGACTGGTGGTTTCCAGAGAGTGCTACCAGATGCCCCGAGATGGAAACAAGAAATCACACCATGCTGCACGACAAGCACTTCAAAAGGGCTCGTCTCGGCTTTGTGGTGCAGATGTCTTCCCGAGGATCAGGAGAGTTAGTTACATGTATGTTTGGAGCTTAATAAAATTTGCGTGGCACGAGATGTCACGACAAATAGCATTTTTACGTTTTTTGTTTAATTTTTCATTTGTATCCCAAAGTATCATCCAGTCAAATATTACGAGCCCGGGATACGAGGCTCTGTGTTTTAAGTTGGACGCTCTATCTATGAACCGACCCACCTACTAGTGCTTTGGGAGGACAGAGCAACAAGAGGTAGTAACTACTGCTTATTGAGAAGAGTAAGAATGATACAGGTTTTCATATTTGTCTCAATAATAACATTTTTCTGGGTGAAACCTGTGGACCTACAGCCATCTGCAGAAAAGCACAGACAATCAGAGCCAGTAGGATGGTGCTGTCAATCATGTCTGTGTACATGCTGCTCACACTAACCTTGAGCATACAAGTTCAAAGTTGCCATTGTGCTGCAGCTATGATAATGACAGAGAAACAACCTAACATTACAGAAAATCTCTCACTGACGTCAACGGTAGCCATGGTAACAAGCCTCTGCGAGTTATGGCAGGGTCCGCTGTGGGTTAGGAGCTGCTAGCGCAGCAGTGAGCTAGTGGTTTGCATTTTGTAAGCACTAACCAACTGCAGGAAAGTTAGCATTAGCAACAACCTAGAGTCATTTTACTGCAACATGTTTTGCATTGAGATGCTATTTTATGGTTAATAGCTTAGCCAATGGGCTAACTCCTTTTTGCCCACAACAGCAGTCTTTTTAACGTCCCATCAAATAATTTTTTGCAGAAAACAAGAAAAGCAGCTTTCTTTGAGGATGTTGTTTGCATGTCAGATTTACAGACGTACCAGAAACACAATTTAAACATTCTGACTTATTTATGTAAAAAAAAAAAAAAAAATGTGAGTAATTGTTTGATCATTTTTAATTTTTTATGCAATTAATTAACCAAATGTGACATATAAAAAGCTTAATTTATGAAAACAATCGGTAGTAGGACCACCTTAGAACAAGGCAAGCATGAAACTCTAAAATTATAAACTAGTCAAACCTGCCCTGGGATTTTCTACAGCGCTCCTACATTCTTTATAACACAGTTTGGGATTTTTTTTAAACCTCATCCTGTCTTGTTCTCATGGTTACAAACCTAAGCACGTGCAATGGCAAAAAAAAAAAAAAAAAAAAAAAAGGGGGTTTTTTTTTTGCTATGGGGTTAAAAACTCTCTGGCCTTCATTATTCTTCAAAAGGAACCTTAAATTATGTGTTTTACCATAGACTCCCCCCCACCCACCAACGGTTGCGCCTGTTTGGGTAAATTGCCTCCTGCAGGACTCCTACACACCATGGAAGGTGTAATTCCCTTAAACTGCGCTGTGAAAACTTTAGGGGGCACAAAAGCCAACTTCTTCAGTCTCCTTTTAGGCTTTCGAATCAAATCCGTCTATTTCAGCTTCAAGTCGATCTTTTTCCACTTGGCTGCAGTCTATGCCGCTCTCCTTTAATGTTGGAGAAGCCACAAAAGGTTCCTGACCCAAACAAGCAAAACTGGTGGTTTTTAAGGGCTCCGACAAAAGTGCTGGCCTATGTGTGTCTGGGCTGAGGGCAGGATGAGAATGGAGAGAGCGCAGCTGAATAAGAGCAACAGAAACCACAACTCCACCACAAAATGTGCCCACCGCTCCTTCACTCCGTTAGATTTTCCATTTGAAATTTTCCTCAAGCTGCAAACAGTTTAAAAATAGTGTTTAGTGGTCAGTTAGGTTAATCACACCTGAATGATTAAGCTGATCAGATTCCTTAAAACTCCAGTTTGTGACTTTAATAAAAATATGGGTTTTTTTTTTTTGTTTTTTTTCCATATTTATTAAAATGTCACCATGTTGTGACAGTATGCCATGAGACAGATTATCTGTGAAAAGTTCCTCCAATTCCTGAGCTGCTATTGTGGTCTGCAGAAATACACTACTCAGTCACAAACAACCAATCAGAGCCAAGAGGAGGGTCTTAGCACTGTCAATCAAGCTCCTGTGCGCTGCTCAATGTGCAAATGGTGGAAAACAAAGTTTATCCACTGTTACAGATGGATATGCTAGCTAGCCTTAGCATTTGTAGCAGGCTATGTTGTGAACCAGCTTTAGCTTAGCAAAGAGCAAAGGTGGAAGGATGTGATTGATAGCACTAAAACCCTCCTCCTGGCTCTGATTGGTTGTTTCTGACTAAGTGGTGTGTGTCTGCCAGCGAGAGCACTGGGAGACGACAGAGGAGCTCATTTTTTCGTAAATTATTTTTCTTGTAGTACAGTGTTACAATGTAATGATAATTTAAAGAAATACTCAAAACTTTTTTTTTTTAAATTAAAGTTAGATACTGCAGTTTTAACTAATAAAAACAAACATATAAGTACCTTACTTTCTGTTTCTATGTTTGTTTTTTATTCATATATTCGTTTTTTTGCTTTTTTATGCGCGTCAAGAAAATGAACACAGTCCATATTGAAGTTAATGTGTTGTCACTCACTCATTCTTCATCTGCAGCACCTGGTCCATAGTGACGACGCCGGCGCGGGTGAAGTTCTCGCTGTACTGGCTCATCTTGATGGACTCGAGCCACTCGGACACCGACCTGAAGGGGGAGCCGTCCGAGCCGCTGGTGCTGGGCAGGCGGATGGAAACCCTGGGAAAAGAAAGGGAGCAGACCTAAACGTTAATGATAATTATTTACACGCTTTCCCACAACAAGAGACAGATGACTGAGGTCTGTAATTACTGTGCAGGAAACCAGTTGGTGATAAAACAAAACAACAAAAAAAAAAAAAAACCGGTTGAGGGAGTCGGGGTAAGAGGTAATTAACATATGGGGATGACATCTCTTTGTTCTTTCTCACTGTCTCTGGTGTCTGCTCTGTCTCAATAGGAGAAACACGCTTTCACTCACAGAATCAGAAACAAAAGGGACACGTGTACCGTGATTTTACTATTTTTACTCTGCAGCCTCACCCAATTTGAACTACTTCAGTGTTATTTTCACACGTAGTTCCACAAATTCCCAATTTTCTTTATATATTAATAAAATTTATTATTCATCACAAACTAAAACTCAGACAAAATGCTGATTCATAGTTTTTTGAAGGACGTTGGTTTCAAAGAACCTCATACACTCAGGACTGAATCCACACCAGAAAAGATATCTATTAAAGGTATGGTATAATTATTTTTTTTTTTTTACCGTGGATCAAAGTCTGCGATGGTCTTTAGTGAGTCTGGGCTGCGCAGGAGCTTGTCCAGCAGACTGACGATGTCTCCGAAACGCGGCCTCTTGGCGCGATCCTGAAGCCAGCACTGAAGCATCAGCTGGTAGACGGCCGACGGACAGTCCATGGGCGCTGGCAGCCGGAACGCCTCATTGATGGCCTTCATCACCTGCAGACGGTATTTATTTATTTATTTAGGTAAATTGTTACATCGTTCCAATGATGTCCTGACTAAAAGAGTTGAGAAATGAAGACAAACCTCGTGGTTGCTCATGTCCCAGTAAGGCCGTTCCCCAAACGCCATGACCTCCCACATGACAATGCCGAAACTCCACACATCACTTGCCGAGGTGAACTTCCTGTAGGCTATTGCCTCCGGGGCCGTCCAGCGGATGGGGATCTTGCCTCCCTGT